ATGTGGAGGTGGGGGGGAGGAGATGAGTGTGGAGGTGGGGGAGAGGAGATGAGTGTGGAGGTGGGGGAGAGGAGATGAGTGTGGAGGTGGGGGAGAGGAGATGAGTGTGGAGGTGGGGGAGAGTGTCATGTAGGAGAAAAGGAACCAAGCAGGACGAGGAGGAGGGGGCGGGGGATATAATAAGTGGGAGAAAAGTGGGACGAGATGGAGGAGAAATAAAAAAGAGTATGGTAATCGAATCACAGTACAGCGATCGATCATATAGTCATTAACTGAATTTAAGTTATTTAACTCACCATTGTCACCAATTGGCCACGCGATAACTGACTGTCCAGCACAAGACTTGATTGGATAGAAAACAATCATTTGCAACTGGATGGGCCTGCTGGCTATGGTGCTGCGCATGAGCCTCCCTCCCCCTACGTCACCCATATCCAACTCCTCAGTGTCCGCTGCAGCACGATTCGAAGACCGTAGATCTGCAAAGAAGCAATATCTGTGCGTTAACATTAGTTGTGCATCATAGCCGATCCATGATCATATTCTGACAGAGCCTGACGCTCATTTGCTGTCCTTTGGGACATCATAGCCGTTGAAATTGGAACCATTTGCTGGTCCTTTGGGACATCATAGCCGTTGAAATTGGAACCAGTTGCTGGTCCTTTGGGACATCATAGCCGTTGAAATTGGAACCAGTTGCTTGTCCTTCAGGAGTCATTTGCTGGTCGGTCGGAATATCAAGGGCCTTGAAGGCAGAATATGAAACCAGGACTTCGGTGACAGAGCCTGATGCTCATTTGCTATAGCCGAAATTGGAACCATTGCTGGTCATTTGGGACATCATATAGCCGAAATTGGAACCCTTGCTGGTCCTTTGGGACATCATATGACCGAAGGGCGTCATTTGCTGGTCCTTCAGGACATCGTAAAGCCGAAATTGTAACAATTGCTGGTCATTTGGGATTTCATAACACCAAGGGACACCATTTGCTGGTCCTTTTTCTTTTCTTTTCTTTTGAGAAAACTCCCTTCTGGATGCTAGGGATCATTTGCTGGTCCTTTTCTTTTTTTTTTCTTTTGAGAAAACTTCAAAACTCCCTTCTGGATGCTAGGGATCATTTGCTGGTCCTTTGGGACACCATATAGCCGAAATTGGAACGACTGCGGGTCATTTGGGGCATCATATCACCAAGGGACATCGTTTGCCGGTCCTTCGGGACATCGTTTGTCGGTCTTTCAGGACATCATATAGCCGAAATTGGAACCGTTGCGGCCACTGAAGTCAGACCAACACAGAAAAGATTAGCATGGTCCCTGTGCAAGGGTGACACACACAAATCAATGAAACACTCAAGTCCAAAATTCTTCAATTTTATTCCCCCCCGCCCCTGCTAATTTCAGCTCCGGCAGGTTCGCACGTCCCATTTAAGCATATAATGGCCCTCACTCCGCAACAGTTACTCCACATTCAACAGGTATCTGGACTGCTATGCACACCACATCTGTTCGGACCTTGAACATTTTGAATGTACTGGGACCATTACCAGATCCAGATGCATGCAGAATGGTGTGCAGTGGCGTGAAGTCCAAAAACTAAGGAGAGGAAAATCATTTTCAACGAGGTTTCCCTCCACAGTTGCAAGAGAATAAAAGTTTCAAAACAAACAACCCAAAAAACAAAACAAAGAAACGTACATTTATTTGCTGGCATCTTCGGAAATCTGGTTGAAAAAAAAAAAAATCTGGTTGTTCATCATTGTTTTGCAACCAAAAAAAAATAAAAAAAATAAAAAAATAAAAAAATAAAAAAATAAAAAAAATAAAAAAATAAAAAAAATAAAAAAATAAAAAAATAAAAAAATAAAAAAATCTTGTTGTTCATCGTTGTTTTGCAACCAAAAAAAAAAAA